TAAGGGGAAGCGGCTGAACACTTCCTTTTGAGATAAGCCTCTGGCCACTTCAATGTCTTTGGGAGTCCACATATTCCTATAATATGCCATGGCGGTAGGACCATCCCTGAACATTGTCTCGCTCGGCTTCACGCTTGTCCCATCCGCTCGGACGAACCGAGGACTCCATGACGCCATTACAGAGGCAGAAGCAGTGGCTGTGACAGACCCAGAGGGTGGAGGGGGCCTGATTAGTGGAGACACGGGCACATTCGGCCCAGAGGTACGAACCCTTCTGGTTGGAGGGTTACCCTCTGGACCAGATGTACCCTCAGGTAGAGGCCTCTTCCCTTTCTCCTTCTTACGAGCAGCAACAGTGGTAGCGTTCTGAGGGTTGCTGACTAAAGAAGTTGTGCTCGGATTGGTAGGCAGAACGTTAATGACCGGGCTGGCAGTTACCACGGTCGGATTGATAGGAGGGGAAGTGCCAGAGATAGTGGCAGAAGAAGATGCCGAGGCAGGAGAAGAGGTTGCAGCAGAAGCGTCAGTGGTCCTTGGAGGGTCCTTCTTCCTACCAAAGGATGGGATCTTGAGCTGACTCATTGTATTGCCGAGGACTAAAAGGGCAAAAAGGTTATCTGAAGCAAGGAGATCTGAGCAGGAAGGAATGTTGTTCAGAACGTATTTCTTTAGGTAATTAACCTTATCCCTGCAAACACCATAACTCAAGTCATGTAATACCCCTAATTTTAAAAGGATAGTTTCGGTATTTATTTATTTATTTTTATTGTATTTTTTTAATTGTTTAATTGATTATTTGACTAATTGTTTATGTGTTTAATTGAATTAAGTGTTACTTGATTAATTGGCTACTTATTTATGTGTTATTTGTATTTTATCTAGGTGTTATTTGTATTATTTGTTTAATTAGATTGTGTGCTTAAATGATGTATTTGATTAATTGTAATTAATTGTAAATTAAATGATTAAATATTTTATTTTATTTTATGGTTATGGTTAGTGGTAATGGGCTAACTAATTAGGTCCCATGGACTACTTGGATAGGAGGTTGGATGGGTATGGATAATTACCCAAAGATAGTTCTATATTTATATATATAGATATATATGTATATACATATATATAAAAAGGAAAGTAATTTATTAATATTATAGTAACTTTAGTATTAATAAATAATCTGATGTATATATTTTATATATTTATATAATAAGGATACGTAACATGTTTTAAGTTACCTTTTTAATATTATGGTAACTTTAGTATAAATAAATAATCTGATGTATATATTTTATTTATTTAATGAGGATATAGATAGATTATATACGTAACATGTTTTAAGTTACCTTTTAATATTATGGTAACTTTAGTATTAATAAATAATCTAATGTATATATTTTATTTAATTAATAAGGATATACATAGATTATATACGTAACATATTTTAAGTTACCTTTTTAATATTTTTATTTTTATTTTTCTTTATTAAGTTGACTTGGATTGGGAAAAGGAATAGAGTTATTATTTAGCCTATAAATACACAACTATGGGTTGAAAAAGGAGTGAAAATATATCACGTAATATATTCTGGAGAAAGAGAGTTAGAGAGAGAAGGAGAAAGAGGAAGGAAGGAGGAGAAAACCCTTTAGAGAGAAGATCAAAAAAGAAGAAGTTTAACTTTCAATCCGAAAATTTAAGGCAAGTTCTTCTTCTATCTCTTTCCCTTTGATTCGTGTTTCTATACATGCTTAAGAAATTTCAGAATTTATTAAACACATAAAATTAAATAATTATGCATGTTTAATTGGATTAGAACATAGGTTTTATGAATTTGGTTCATATCTGTTCTTGTGTTTTGAATTGATAATTGCATGATTTTGATTTGATTTCCGGTGTGAATTTTTACATGTTTAAATTATGTATATTTCATATCGGTGGAATAATGGAACGTAGAAACATGCTTAGGATTCCTGAACATTAAATAGGAACTAGGTTTGGGTTTAAATAAATTTAAATAGACTCAATCATAATGATGCTTGCTATTTGAATGTTTTAAACAAACGAATGAATTTAATCTTTTAATATGTTTTAACAATTGAATTTAAATGTTTAGGATGAATTGGATATGGAGAATGCTTATTTGACGGAATAATAAAATATCATCATATGTATAAGATTCAGTTTATGTAGGACATATGATATAGGAAACTTAAATAAATAATAAGTCATTCCTATTTTGTGATAACTTGAAGTCATATTATCATAGTTATTTCTGGATTGTTTGATGTATTTCCTTAATCGTTACATCAATTGTTGAATTGTGTGATTTAATGCACCGGTATGGGACGGTGGCATTTTAGGAACTGATTAACTTATCAGTTAAGTCATACCTATTTTATATAAGGGAATGGATTAACTAAAATGTTAAGTCTTACTTATATTTAAGTCAAGTCAGCTGAACAAGTTGAACGACTTATGGATGATTAATCTATTATATAAGGGAATGGATTAACTAAAATGTTAAGTCCTACTTATATTCAAGTCAGGTCAGCTGAACAAGTTGAATGACTTGTGGATGATTAATTTATACCGGATAGGATGGTTACTAGATTTTATATATATAAGTATGGTGCCATGATATGAGCTTGAGTCTTAGGATCAATGGTTAGGGTGCGTATATCGCCAGGGATGTGTAGCTAGATATAGTGTAGTTGTGTACCCTGGTAGGTTTAGGTATTCATGCCCACTATATGTGCGTTTTGCATATTACCTACTATTCAGGTTGAGACAACCCTATAGTCTAGTGAGGTTCCTTTAGTGTATGTATATATATATATATACGGACTACTAGTTACTGTTGGATTGACTAGGATGTATACGTGTATCGGATTTCTGCTTGGATTGTAGTAGAGTAGAACTTGTTTGTGGGCCTGACCCACCATTATTTTTCAGGTGTTCGTCAGAAGTAGAGGTTGTTCGTGCTGAGCAGGGATCAGTCTACTTCATTCTTCCGATGCTACATAGGAGTTCCTTTACGATTCAGTTTCCTGATTTAGACAGTTATTGCTGTCATTTGTTTAGTTTGGATTTTCTAGGGGTCCACACAGTATGGATTTTCGAGTTGTATTTTGGAGGATCAGTTGTATCAGAAGAGTTTATTAATTAATGGAAATATATTCTGAGGTTTATTATTAGATTATCGTTTTAGTTTCTTGTCAACATTTTATTTATTCTTCTTTATTCTTTTGTACTCTGTGTTCGTTTATTATCAATTTGTTTTGATATCCTCGGGTATTCGGGTGTGGGCCTGGCCAACCCGCATTCAAAAATCCGGGGGGTATCACAAGTCATTACAAGGGATGCCCAAGGAACGGCATAAGAAAGTGCAAAAGCGAGGAATACAAGTTTCACAGGGACAATCGTTTTTATGTGTTTTATATTTCTTATACGAAGAAACAGAGCACATGCTAAAGGCGCTCGGGATTGGATAATCCTTTGCAGCCGTGGAAGACCAGGCCCCCCTAACCCCTATTATGTTATTTCTCCAACCCTTCTCAGATTTGATTGTGTCCTTACATATGGACTTCTTGTCAAACGGGTAGAAGTGGTAGAATGGTTCATCAGTTCGGATTTTGGTAACCTTGTAACAGAGGAGAAGATCTATGAGATCAAGATCCAGACCTCTGTCACAGGTCAGAAGCAGCAGAACGGATATGATTCTAAAGAAATTTGGATTTACTTGCAGAGGGGAAATCCCTAGTCTATTAAAAACATAGTTAAAGAAGGGGTGCAGAGGGAACCTAATGACGTTAAGATGAAGATGGGAAAATAAAACTTCGCCGGGAAAAAGACCCGTACCGGTTCTAACGTCTACATCTCTGGGACATACCCTAATTTGAACGTCATTGGGGAGATTAAGTTTCATGCGAAGGATATCCAGGTCGATTGTCATGATGAAAGCGAGCAAGAACTCTGGGAAAGTAAAGAAAATCCCCAGAAAGAAGAAATAGAAGCAAAACTAACCTCAAAGATTGGAGACTGCAAGGAGCACTGCGAGATCGCTGCAAAAGAAGCTTTCGCAAGAGTTCACCAGAAGAGATTCGATTTGATTCGAAAGGGACAAGCAAAGATTTAACTAACAGCAAGGCAGGATGGAGACGGTAAAGAGGAATGTGGGGGCATCTTTGAGACTTATAAAGACAAAGTGGGCCCGAAGGCCGAAGCGTCAGGAAAGCGAGAAGGTTTTTGAATCTCAAAGCATCGTTTCTAGGTTCAACCACCTTTTTTCCCAAGAGATCTTCTTGAGCCATCAAAGTCATGATTTGCAGCCATTAATAATTACCCCCTATTTTATTAGGGAGTAATTATGAGGGCAGTTGAGGATATCGAAGGTTGAGTGGGCCGGGTCTGACCCAAGAGGAGAGCATCGGGTTGGGCAGCAAGTTCTAGGCCAAGCTTGAAGACTAATACCACAGGCCCAACACCGGAGATCCACCGGATTGAGTCAAGCCCAAAAGGAAGAAGGCCCGAAGACTGAGAGCCCAGCATCAGAAGTTAGTTATAACACTTGTAATTGCCTATAAATAGGCATATAAGATATAGAAGAGGGGAGATAGAAAAATTGTGTAATGAATTATTAGAGAGGTCAAGAGAGATATTTTTCTGACATTTACATATCTAAACCTACCTTTTTCTTTTATTACCTTCAACTTGAACTAAATCACATCTCCCTACTGGTTCAGTCAATAAATCTTCCCTCAAGTGGAAAACAATCTAACCTTCAATAACAGGGCAACACTGTTTCAGACAACTTTTTCCTTTTACCTTACCTACCCATGAATCCATGATCAATGCTACAGGAGCTCTCTAATTAATTAATCATTAATTCAATATTTTATGTATTGTCAAATGCTTTCACTCCACCTAAAGACAACCAAGAAAAATGCATTTCCCCCTCCCCAACCCAACGTGGCTATTGACCAGATTTGTTTATCAACCTGACCAACTTGGGTAAACCAATGCATAAGATTAGGATATAATCTTAATACTTAAGGTAAACATATCAAGAATCAAAATGCATTCTTTGCTCAACCAACAGTTCCGCTGCTTGTTAGCACTTCATCACATGTCCACCATGATTCGTGTACTTGCGAGTGGTACATATAAAACTTACAACAAATATATACCCGATGTAGAATTCAGATTAAATTTAATATTCCTATTACCATTTTCAATACATGTAACAACAAATATATAACGCATATTGAAAATGGTAATAGAAATATTGAATTTAAATCACACTGTAGCGCTCTAAACTCTGCTTCTGCTGCCAATAGGCCCTGAATGAGATTGCCATTCAATGTTTCAAATGAAATATAAGTTTCAACATTGGAAATGACTTGATTCTCCATTTTTCCTGTCAAAAATCACATTAGCAAATCATTAAAAGAGTGCAAATCATCCCATTTCATATACTAAAACCCCAATAAAAATTCAAAAACATGTAAAAAACTATGTTCTTCGCAAATCAGCAAATGAATTAAAAAAAAAAAAAAAATCTGAAACAGAAAATTGATTATATAAACTAAACAAGCAATATGAACTTCAAATGCAATTATTTCAACCATATATAAACTGAACAAGCAATATGAAAAAAGACATGATAGAACTGAAAAAATTAAGTATACTGATGTTTTTTTTTTTTTTTTTTTCGGTAAATAAGTAATTCATTAAAAAAGAAAGAAATTACAAGAAGGTCCTTCAGCCCATACAAAACTGGGCATGGAAACAAGAAGTAAAAAGTCCACTATAGTGGCCCAAAGAAACCTACAAGGAAGTCTTTAACCGAGCTAGGCCTAAAAGCCCAAATATAACATTCTATATCCATAGCATTAACTACCTTCAACCACATACTCGGGTGGGATGACTCAACAAACCATGAAGAATCCACACTACTGGTTATGGTCGGGGAAGGTGTTGAGAAGTTGGGATCAGTGGAAATAGTGGTGGTGGTAGAGGTGGAGGATTTTGGGTGAGTTGAGTAGTTGCGAAATGGAAGAAGGGATTTGACTAGTCAGGCTCATAAAAAGAAGCTGGGAGATTCTAATCTGCTGCAATTTCTCTCGCAAAGGGGCATTCAACTTTCTTGACAGAGAATAGCTTCAGCCTGATTGCGTTGATCACTGAGTTCATTGTTTGGTCCAGAGGTAATGAGGTATTTCTAAACATTCTATTATTTCGCTCCTTCCAAATGTGATAAACATAGCTAGCCAATGTTAGCCTCCAAACCATAACTCTGCTTCTCTTAAGTTTTTGTTTCCAATTAGATGATGCCCAAATTAGGAAGTCTTTCCAAGAGTTAGGGTTTGTGTAGAACCCACATTTATGTTGAAGACCAGCCCATACAACTTTTGAATAATCACATTAGTGGAACAGATGTTCGTGATTTTTAGCAGCTCTTAGACAAAAGATACACACATTTGGTTGCATTGTGTAGAGAAGTGCAGGTTTATCTTGAGTAAGTAATTTTTCTTGAATTGCTAGCCACAAGCAGAAGGAGTGTTTTGGTATGGCATGTTTAAACCATGTGAGCTTATTGTCACGGGCCTAGAGATTTGGCGCAGCGGCACGGCCCGTGCGGCACCAAGGCGTTGCTTCAGCTCGCGCAAGCGCCCTGGTCAGCCACCACGACCTGCCCTCCCAAGGATACATGCTGACTGGTTTCGGCCTGCCATGGCCTCGTCAGGGGAACGGCTCCAGCTCCCGACCAGTTTGTGCAGGGATGGCCAACTCCCTTCTTCATAGTCAAGTCCACGACCAGCGACAAGCACCTCGAACTGAACCGAGTCGACCTGCCTGAACTCTGAAGAGGTACCATCCTGTGCTCCTGCACGCCCCTTCCCTGGAACCATTCCCAGTCAAACTCTGCTCTTTGCCAACCAGCATGCGTGTCTTCCATCCTCCAAGCGTCTTAGGAATCACTTCGTGACATTCTCCCCCACCCAAATCCTGCGACGTCCTCGTCGCAGTGCGGCGCTTCACTACTGCGTCCACTCCCTTCCAAAGTCTGCCTCCATGCGGTATGCTCGCCTTCCCACCATCGCTTCCTTGTGCAGCTCCCTGCACTGCACTCGCCCAATGATAGGCCTCGGACCAAGGGGACGTCCACTCCTCAAGGACGTGACTCTTCTCCGTCATGCCGCCTCCGCGACATCCCGAGTAAGCAATGGCCTTCTGCCGACTTTATGCTCGCCCTTCACCATGGTTTGCATCACCCAAGGACTAAGCACGAACTTTGGTGCGCGCGGCCCTCCGGCCCTTCAATGCGCAACTTCAACGGACGCCTCTTCCTGGGGAGATGGAGGCTCTCCCCCCCAACTGCATTGATTCCTCCACATCGACGCAACTTTAATGCACCGTCTTCATTCTCTGACCCCTCCCGGACCGACAAGGGGGCACCCTACCGTGCTTTACCCCAAAACCTGGCTCTGATACCATTTGTCACGGGCTTAGAGTTTCAGCACCACTCTAGCTGCTCCCGTGCGGCACCAAGACGTTGCTTTCACTCTCGCAAGTACTTGGTCAGCCTAACTCCCGTGCACACCTTAGCCAACACACTCCCCTCGTGCGCTTACTAGTGTTGTAGTTGCCCTCGCCCTCTCCTCACTTGGCTTGCACACTCACACACACTAAGGCACTTAAGTTGGCAAGGAAAGAACACTTCTATTACTTCAAAGAATGCTTTGTACAAGGCTAGCACTCAAGCTCTCTACAAGGCTCTCAAGACTCACTCTAGGACTTGTTCCCTGCAAAATGAAGTCCTACCTCTATTTATAGGCATCCCCATCCCTAATGGACGGCTATGATGCATTCTAACCAACGGTGGAGATTGATTATCTAGAATCTTCTCCCACCTTCTTCACACTTCCATACTTATCTACTAGTATCTACAACATTCTAGAATTCTCCATACTACTCCACACAACTCTGGAGAACTCTAGAACCTTCCACACACTTTTACACATTTCTACACATATCTAGAATCTTCCACATAACTCTAGACTATTCCGGAAGACTCTAGAAACTCCATTTGCCATGCAGCGTCCTCCTCAGCGTCTGCGTGTCGCCTGCGTGGCACAACCTCCATAGGCGGGGCGTGACATTCTCCCCCACCCATTTCCGTGACGCCCTCGTCACGGTTTCTTCAGCTGACCCAGCCTCTCGCAGGTCATCAGCACTTGCGCATATGTCCTTGGCCCAAACGTACGAGCGCCCTTCGGGAGATGTGAAGTCCTCATGAGCTCCATCGTGTTGACTGCCACCTCTGGACTCTCCTTCCTGCCCACGAGCGGCACCATACATGCGGCCTTGCCTTCCTCGCCTCCAAGTATCATCAACGCACCAAGGCATGGTAGTGGCGCGGCGTTGTTCCTGTCCATGAACTCCAGCCCCAGCACCATGTCGTGGTCGTCCATCTCCGCAACTTGGAAGTCAGCCTCGCCCTTCCATCCTTGCATGCATAGCTCCACCTCCTTGCACACTCTACTCACGCGTGCCTCCTCGGAGTTGACGGCCTTGATCCAGCCCTCCGTCTTGCGCATCTCCAAGCCAAGTCGTTGCGCCTCCTCCGGGGTAATGAAGTTGTGTGTAGCACCCGTGTCTACCAACGCTTGCACGGCTTTGCCACCAACCTGCGCATCCACATAGCGCACCCCAGCTACCTTCTTTGCCTTGCCCTTCTTCTTGGTGTCATGCGCCATGCTACTCAGCATCTGCATAGCCCCCATGCACCTATCTTCATCGCTGCCCGCATCGTCCACCCTGCCCTTGCCCTTATCCTTCACAAGGGCGCTCATGGTCTTCTTGTTGGGGCAGTGTCGCAATATGTGCGGCCCTTCGCACAAGTAGCGCTTCGGCTCCCACTTGCCCTTATCGCGGCGCTCCCCTTTGCCACTAGCCTTAGACCTCTCTCCATGGTCCTTGCCTTTATCATGGCGTGGGCGTCTCTCCTCATCGCTGTGCTCATCATCACTTGACTTGGGCGAGCCCCTTTTCTTGAAGCGACGGTCTCCCCCACCTTTACCGTGGTCCCTCCTGGGAGACGTGGCCCTCTTGTCATCGTGCCTAAAGTCTTCAAGGCGCTCCGCTATAGCCATTGCGGATGCCAAGTCTCTAGGCTCCCTCATTCTCAGCTCTGTGGCTACCCAAGACTGCAACCCATCAATGAACAAGCACACGCGTTCTCTGACCCCTCCCGGACCGACAAGGGGGCACCCTACCGTGCTTTACCCCAAAACCTGGCTCTGATACCATTTGTCACGGGCCTAGAGATTTGGCGCAGCGGCACGGCCCGTGCGGCACCAAGGCGTTGCTTCAGCTCGCGCAAGCGCCCTGGTCAGCCACCACGACCTGCCCTCCCAAGGATACATGCTGACTGGTTTCGGCCTGCCATGGCCTCGTCAGGGGAACGGCTCCAGCTCCCGACCAGTTTGTGCAGGGATGGCCAACTCCCTTCTTCATAGTCAAGTCCACGACCAGCGACAAGCACCTCGAACTGAACCGAGTCGACCTGCCTGAACTCTGAAGAGGTACCATCCTGTGCTCCTGCACGCCCCTTCCCTGGAACCATTCCCAGTCAAACTCTGCTCTTTGCCAACCAGCATGCGTGTCTTCCATCCTCCAAGCGTCTTAGGAATCACTTCGTGACATTATGCCAGTGGGTAGGGGGGATTGGTTGGGTAATAGCAAGAAGGGTATGTTTAAGGGAATATGTCTTGTTGGGAGATGGAGTCCACTGGATGGTATCATTGCAATGAATGTTGGGGAATGGTAAGTTCCTGATATTGCAATAAGGTAAGACTATATTTGAAATATGTCTAGGCCATGACCATTGGGAAGTAGTAAGTAATAAAGATACTTTCATAGATTTGTTGAGTAACCAACCCTGTCTATGATTGAAGTTAGACAATACCTAATAGAGAGGTCCACATGGGAGCCAATTGTGAAAGAAAACCATTGTTGATGAGCCGTTGTTGATGATGTGTTTGACAAAAGGCTGTGCCAAAGTTCTATTCTGTAGAAGCTTTCTCCAGAACCAAGAGCTGTCACTAGGAATAGAAATGTCCCAAAGGCTCTTGTTTTTTACTAATTTCTTGAGTGTCCATTCTTTCCAAATTCTAGTTGAGTCATTAGAGCATAAAGTCCAGATATGTCTCAAAATTGAGGCCTTGTTCCAAAGTTGTATATCATAGATGCCCAATCCTCCTGCATGTTTAGGGCTGCACACATACTCCCATTCCACCTTAGTACTTGTTCATTGCTTTGCCTGACCATAAGAATCTTTGCATTATTTGGTTCATCTTGTCACACACTTTAGCTGGTAAAATCAGGAGGTTTGTCCAGTAAATATGCATGTTGAAAAGCATAGCTTGAATCAACTGTAACCTTCCTGCAAAGGATAGAGCTCTTGCAGTCCAACTTGTAACTCTAGAGAGCATGCTGTCAATGATGGATTGGCAGTCATTTGATGTGAGTCTAGTAGAGATTAGAGGTAGGCCAAGGTATTTGACAAGTAGCTCAGCACAAGGGAATTGAAAGATGTTGTATATGGTGTTTTTGGTCTGATGTGGAGTTCCACTGAAAAACAAATTGCTTTTGTTAGGGTTAGGGGTGAGGCCAGAAAGGTTAGTGAACTGATGTTAGCAGCTATTGATCCTGTAATACACTCAATCTTCCGATAGACAGCTGCTCAGGTTTTGACATGTTAACAAAAGTTGAATTACAAAGTACATATATATATATATATAGTCCAGTTGATTTTGATTTTCGATTAAAAAATTAAGTGACTGCATACACCACCCACTTACTGAGCAGTTTATTTTAACTTTTTTTTTTTTTGGACAAGTGACAGAAAATTGTGTTTAATGAAAGAAATTAAATACTCCTAACTCTAATTGTTTCTGTCACCAACCCACTTCATGTTTGTTTGCAAGTTCATAACTACCCAGAGTACAATAGTATTATCAAACACATTAACTATCAATATTATTAGCAAGCCCATTTAACTGAGAAAGAGATGACTTAAATAGGTACGGATACCCCAAAATAAAAAAAAAATTACCAAGAAATTGAATGGAACTCCTACAATAGAATGCTTACAGTGAAATTGCAGAGAAGTAGGGTTGGGTCGGCCTCAAATTTTCTGAAGCAACCAATGGAAGAAGTTCCAAGTTAGATACCAAGAAATGGAAAATCGACCTAAACCAATCTTTGAACACAAAATCCAACAAAACAAAAAAATACACACACAACCGAAGAATGCTTGTAAACACACTACCACTAGCATGGACCATTTTCAGAGGACTTACACAAAATCTAATCATGAGCTTCTTCTTCAAAATCTCCGGTCAGTGTTGTGGGATTTTTGGTTACTGGTGTGGTGAAAAATATTGCCTCGTCGTTGCCCATTTTGCCGGTTCTGGCTCTGAAGGATGTGTTGTATGTATAGAGAGTATGGAGGGGGAGATTGGAGGGAGAGAGGTCGAGAGAGAGAGAGAGAGAGTGTAGATTGGAATCCAAAGGGTAACATCAGGTTGCAATTGACTGTGAATTGTACGATAAAACCATCCAAATCTCTAATGATCCTAGCCGTTCATCAAACTATAAGAACTATTTGCCTTTATTTTTTCCGATGTGATGATATCACAGAATTTATCACTCTTAGTTGGGAAATGTAAATAGGAGAAATGGGTCCGGTTAGCGCACTTATGGTAATCACGTTTGGTGACGGTGATGAGAAGTAAGTAATGATGGACCTAACATGTCACACCCCAAATTTTTAACACAAAGATTCTTTGTCTTGTATATAAAATTTGATGTATAACTTTCACCAATTCTCCGTATGTATCCATTATAAAATATAATTATAATAAATTTCTATCATCCAATTTACTAAACATGAGTGTGACAAACATATATCAAATCCATAAATAGAGGTGAAATTCCCTCTAACATAACAAAACATCTATGACCACTAAATCAACTCGATAAAGTTTCATAAAATATTAACTTTATTACAATAATCATAATAAAGGAAAACCGAGATAAAATAAATCAATGTGCAACGAGCTAAAATCCGTCCCCGTCATGTGTCTCCATCACGTTCCTACTCTACGAGCACCTGAAGTGTGATAATGGGGTGAGCTCACAAGTTCAGCAAGAAATGCTAAACATAATCATCGTTCAGCAAGTTAACCTTACCTTGTATTCCTATATATATAAGCAACTCAATAAATGTATTAATTAAATATGCATATCCCAGTTAATTATGAACTCTACAATAACTAGAGGTGGTAATATTTGACACGACACACTAACACGATACGAACACGACACGAGATAAGCAGGTTTGGGTTGGGGCTAATCGTGTTCGTGTCATAATCGTGTCGACACGGATTGACACGCTAATTAAACGTGTCGTATTCGTATTTGACCCTATAAACACGATTATGACACGATTAACCCGATTAACTAAATGATGTCAGATAAACGTGTCGTGTTCATGTCAAAAATGACTCATTTAGCAAAACGTGTACAATAAATATGTCGTATTCATGTCAAAAATGACTTAAACGTGTCGTGTCAAGTCTTGACCCATTTATTAAATAGGTTATGCGTGTAGTGTCGTGTTACACGTATAATAATCATGTCGTCTTTATGTCAAGGGTCTTAGACACGATTAATAATCGTGTCGTGTTCGTGTCAACCCTAATCGTGTCCGTGTCGTAATAGTGTTGACACGAACACGACACGTCAACACGAATTGCCACCCCTAACAATAACCATCATTTATTTTTAATAAATTCACATATCTCATATGAGTCCCGGGCTCCCATCCAATAAAGTGGTGTGACTCGTATAGTCCCTAACTACCGAAAACACACGTGTGTCTGGATTGTACGTCCACTCCCCAGATGATCCCTAATCACGTCACACAATAAGGGCTCATTAGACCCATGGCCATAATAAAATGGTAGTGCACTCCCAATTAGGCAGGTCCCTGACCATACCTAAAAGTCATCATAGGGTCAGTCCCTGACTACCCCTCCGACTAATCGAAACTCATCCATTAATTATTAAATATGGTGAATTATGAAAGACATTATTAATTAATAATTCAAATTAATTATTATAGCATCAAAATACATATTTAATTCAAAAACAGAACTCTAATGACCCAATCACTGAGAGTACAAAAATTCTGGACATAGCCTAATATTAAATATGACTCCATGCAAAATTTCAGAATCTAACTCTTAATATCCTTTTCGTACTCTCCGTTTTAGTGCTGAAAATAATACTTTTTCAGGTTTTAATTTCGTAAAACTATCCAACAGTCATATAACAATCTGTATTTCAGCACAACTAAGTTCAGTGCACTTAAAACTAAATTCCTGGAATTTTTTCTCAATTATTGGGATAACAATACTATTTTTCCTAATTTTCTTTAGCTTAAAAATCAATTAAAAAAAATAATCATTAAATCAAAAGAATATGATCTTATATTGCACACGAAACCCAATCCATTTCCAATGTCCAGTATGAAACCCAGGTCATTCACTAAACAAATTATGAACAAAAAAACAATATTAACGTGCAATCTAACCCATCATAGATGTACAGTCAAATCATTTTAAACAAGTAAACATATGTATAACATATACCATTGTTATACACATTACCCAACACCTCCACTTGGTTGACACGAATAAATGTAAACTCTGAAAAAAATGCATTATGTATATATATCATAACAGGTGGATAAGGTTCCTAGAATTAATTTTTGCAAGTTCATATAAACACGCACATATATATATGAATCACAACCAATAACAGCAATGAATTAGATTAATATTAAATCGTATATAATCCAAAGAGTCCTAAATCTAATTAATTATATAACCACATATTGAGTCACTTATGTACCTTCATACATTCAACTTAATTACTGCAATACAATTTTGCTAACCAAAAAATTCTATAATCATATACATACCATCTATCAGGAAATAAAATAACTAAAGGAATACATGTTTTAAAATTGATGTTTTCAAACAATACCCATTTGCCAATCTAAGATTAATTATCGTTAAAATGATCTCTAGTAATTCTCCAGAGGATGCTAAAATAATATACATAAATCAAGATTCAACCTTGACAAATCTAAACTAAATTTATTTTCAATAAATTCATATGATATAAAACCTTAAATAATATGCTTATCAGGTCACAAATATACTATAAGATTACAAAACAAGATTAACTTGCCTGGAGTATAATTAATTCTTCATTTCTACGTGAATGCCCGATTATCATTCCTTTCCTCAGCTATTGCAGAAAGACATGACGTCAGATCACTCTCTCTGGGTATCCGTCCTATCACGCTGTATCGTGCTAATATTTTTTTAAAAAAAATATAACGCAGTGAAGAGTTATAGAGATATAGGGAGTCAGGTGAGATAATATAATTAGTTAACCAACTCTATCACAATATCCTGTTTAAATTCAAACAGAGATAACAATTAAATTAAATTAATAAATATATGTATATGATAGATATATTTTTTTTACACGGGTTTTACATAACACTTCTATGATACTCTTCGGATTCGAGACACGGGTTGATCAAGCCCAGACCCAAACCCGAGGGAAATATTAAACAATTAATATTTTAACACGAACATAGAATACAAATTTAAAGAATAAGAAATAAATAAAAATGACTGAAATGAATTCTAATGGAAAAATCCTTAAAATATACTTATTAAAATCCAAACTCCAAAATCTCCAATTAATTAACAACTCGGGAATCCATCTGGTGGACCCCTAAAAAAAATCCCAACTGTAAAATGAAATAACTGAAGTACGATCTAAGGCTAATAAGTAAGCAGTCCTACATAGTTGGTGGAATAGAAGCCGGTATCTGCTCTGCACGACCAAGCTCTAACCCTGGAACTGACGAGCACCTGAAAAATAAGAGAGTGGGCCAGGCCTACATGCAAGTCATATTCTACTACGATCCAAATAGGAATCCGATACGCAAATACATCCTAGATAGACTCAACACTATCTAGAGTAGTCCATATATGTATAAATACACACTATAGGACGCTCACTAGTCCAATAGGTCTGTCTCAGCCTGAGTAGAGATAACATACAAATCGCACATAATGTGGTTATGTGTACCTAGACCTACCATGGAACAACAACTACTGTCCAGCTATCCATCCTAAGCTATATACGCACCCTAACCATAGTCCTGAGACTCAAACTCATACCATGGTACCATATCATATATATATAAAGTCCGTGTCCTCCCAATACAAAATATCACCCATCTTGTATAGTGGTATGACGTATGTATAACAATCCATCCTAGAAACCAAGTTATGTCATTCAGTTATTTACTGACCTGACACTAACAGGAGTTGGACTTAACCTTTATGGTTAATCCACACCTTAATCCATTTTAGGTAGGACTTAGTGTTGAACTAATCCATACTGAGTATGCCACCGTCCCATACCGGTGCATACTATCCTCCAGCTAACATGGTTGACAAAACAATATAAAACATTCATCAACCACATCCCAAAATAAACATATATGTAGTTCAACATATGTATAATCAAATTATGCGTCCAATATAAGATTTAGAAATCCTATTCTGGTCCTTGAAACTGATAAAGTAAGATTACGAAATCAACTCCTCCAATCAATACCGTAACTGATGCAATGTATAACAAGTTTTAACATCAGTTAATTCTATCTAAGTAGACATATATTTAAACAACTATATGCCCATATCACAGCTAAAACATGATTCATATTTTAAAACCATGCAGAAAAATAAAAATTGCCAATTTAAATTATTTATTCAATCCTCCTTATACGGTTCACTATTTAACCATATGTTAATTCCATCCTCCATATTTAAATGTAACCATGCTTCCCAACATTTTTTTTAAGTCTTTAGCAATGAATTACACCATCCAGAGAAATAAAAATATCTAGAACAGTCGGCAATTTAAATTTATTTATCCAATCTTCTATATACGGGTACACTGTTTAACCATATGTTAATTCCATCCTCCCTATTTAAATGTAACCATGCTTCCCAACATTTTTTATAAGTCTTTAGCAATGATTTACACCATCCAGTAGCCTTTAAATAGTTTTTGAAAAAACCCAGTTAGCCAAACTGTCCCAAAAATCAGTTTTTTTAACGTTTTTAAAAGAGAGAGCAGGCTCTTAAACTTGAGAGCCTGCTCTGTTGCAAGGAGATCCAGCTCCCTACCCTTGGGAGCCAGCTTTAGGCTGTTTAGAGCCTGATCTCAACCTAGAGAGCCGGCTTTAGCTTGGTGGGAGCAGGCTCCCTCCTCTTTTGGAGCCTCCTTTCACCCCTAGGAGCCGTAGTCCGTTCTCAGTTTTCTTTCTCGCCTCCGGCAGTACTTGCAGTCTCTGTAATAATTTTTATTACATGTTTTAAGGTCTCATCGTCATCCCAGATTGATCACA